ATCATTTACATTAAACTCCCTGACCTGGGAATGACGATCAGAGTAGTGCTTCTGTCGTTCCTGCTTTTGCATTACCCTATCATTTAGACTTGGGTGTACCATACTTAATGGTGAATGTAACATTCTTCGGTTGAGTAGTTTTATCGGACCAATCAGATTTATGAAAATCATCCAAAACTCCTCACCATATGCTTAAGCATTACAAGCATATGGCAGTCTGACGCTCACGTGGATGCAGAGCTTGAAATATACTCTGGAAAAACAGATAAAATGACTAAATTATCCTTATTTTTAAACACTAAAATTATGATCATAGGCAAAAGAAAAGGATAGAGATTCAAATGATGTAAATTATATGCAGTAAAAACGTACAGATTTTTAGTACCAGCAGTATATAAATGTCAGTTTTCGTAAAACACCCCATTTTTTCGAGCGGTTCACTGGTTTGAGATGGTCGATTCCATTTTCTTATGTATACATGACTACGTACATGTGAGTGGTGAAGACTGTAAAGCAGGGTAGAATAGGTCTTCTTTTGAGGGTAAAAATAAAACTGTGAATGGTATTTAGATAATTATGTATGTTGTTTAGAATAAAAATTGAAAGTCCATATGAAAATGTTATGGCGTTTAATTTGTAGTTGTAGAACCCCCTAAATTACAAATGAACTGTTCCAAATCTGTTACGCGCTTGACTGATCACCCACAGTGTATCGTTAGCCCATGAGGAAACTACCTTGAGGTCGAATTCAGGGAATAAAATTGCACTGCTAGCAAAATATTGTCGTAATGATTCAAAATAAAAAATCAATCCAACAATCATACTTACTTTCCTTGACACTTGAACATTACCATTAGAAAAATGTTTAAAAATCCACACTATCCTATACCTTACACTTTTAAACTGATAGTACTGTAGGCCCTACCAGAGAGAGAGGTACGGTACATTCCCAATACATTATGGTCTTCCACTTCTATAGAACATGATACAGTGCATAGCAAACGTTATGTAACCACTAATAATACTCAGGTCCAGTGGCGTAGGTATGGGCAGTGCAGTCAGCACAGCACTGGGGCCCGGGGCTATTAGGGGCTCATCCAATAGGTATAATGATCTAAAAATGTAACTTTAAAAAAATCCTATTCAAACTTTAAAAGGACCCTTCAATAATATTAGGTTTTAGAGGCTATAGTTATTGATTATATTCATTACAATTTACCTATTAGGCCTACCTATTTCCCAAACGCTGCAAGTAAAAAAAAAAAAAAAAAACAATACAAGCCCTTACGTATACGATGGACTAATATACCTTTTTGAAATCACATTTCTAAAGCAATACAATATCGTCACGCACATTTTGTGTTTGTGGTACAGTATTTTAAAGTTGGTTCAACTATTATTGTGTAAGTTTTCAAACACTTCAGATCATAATAATAATAATAATAACAACTTTATTTTATAACGGTCAAAAAAGTCATTCACCCAAGTGGGTGTTCTTCCACGAGGCCGTATGGACATTATTAAACAAAATAATTGTGTTAGATTAAAATAATTAAGTGTTAGTACAAAGAAAAAACAAATATATATAAAACATAATAATGGTTATTACATTACTATGTTTCTTTTAAAAAGTTCTAGTGTGCTTGAATTTTTTATATTGCTGTCTAAATTATTCCACAAAAGAGCCCCCCGGTAACATAGACTTCTTTTTTTATATTCCGTTCTTGGCTTGGGTACGTTAAGGTTGTCATTTGACCTAGTGTTGTATTTACT